AAAACTTCTTATTATTTTTACTATTTGCCCAACTGCCGTGGACTATTTTCGCGAAGTTAGTGAATAAAAAATCTTTTTGCTTGTTTGCTAGTATAACCAAAAATTAATCAATATAGCCGTTGAATTTACTAATTATAATTGGTCTTATATATTTATTATAAATATATACAAGAGAGAGAGAGAGAGAGGAAAAACATATAACAAATTCATAACAAAGCATAAAAATTAATATACAAAAGAAAAAATATCATGAACAAAAGAAAAAATATATGCATAAGAGTCCAACCGAATTACATGTTTAATTCTAATTCTGTATCTGAATCAGGTGAGATTGTTTTGAATGTTGAGGAATTTGCTGAAAGTGTCTTGAATGTGAAAAGTGTGAAAGAAGAAGCTAAATCTGCTCTTTTTAATAGTTTACAAAAATCAAGAAGAGAAGATGGACATGAATGAGCACTTTTGCAAGCCGAAAAAATAACACCAAAAGTCGAAGGTGGCAAAAATTTTTACCTAGTAGAAAAACCTTCTTTATTGCCTCGAGGATTTTCCCAACGCTTGCTTGATGAGGAGGAAGCTGCCGAAATTAATTCTTCACTAATTAACAAAAAAAAACAAGCAAAAATTATCCAAAAAATATTAAAAAAAGATAAAGAGTTTGCCGAGAAAAAACACGATTTTGTTGATAGACTTTTAAATCCGCAAAATGAAAATTATAGGGACATTTGATGCGAATCAATGGAAGCGGCAAGCAATGAGGGCTGTGATACGTTGGGTTCGCTTCAAAAACCAAATAACGCAATCCAAGGAACATTGAACGAATGGACATTTAGAAACTTAAATATTAATTCTTTCGATTCTTATATTAAATCGGCAAGAACTGAATTAGAATTTAAGCAGCGTAAAAATTGGACACTGGCTTGAATTACTACTAGATTTTTGGTAGAAAGGATTTATAAAAACAAAAAAAAAGGCAATTTTCTTAATCTTAAAACCATACTAGGAGAAAAACTAAAAGGAATAAAAAATTTCCTAGTGTCCAAAGGAGAATGACAAAAAAAGATAAGCGAAAATCCGGAAGTCCTTAATTTAGAAAATGAAAATGTCTTCTGAGAAATCCAAAATCTCCTCAGTTGTTTACACGAAATTCTTTTGCTCCAAGCCCACGGTAAAAGAACCAAAGCTGCTAAGAAACTTCAAGGAGAAGTCCGAAACCTATTTAAAGAAGGAAACGACGATATAAGGAAAAAAGCTTACGAGCTGGTAAACTATTGCGATAACTTAGCAGATAATTGTCTTGATGAAGAAAAAATTGAACTAGTTCTTGCTAAAGTTCCCGAAATAGCAAATAGATACAAAGAATACGAGGAAGAAGAAGAAGAAGAAGAAGAAAATGATTCCAGTGATTCCGAAGAACTTATCGAAGAAATAAGAGACACCGAAGATTTCGTAACTCTCGATTTTCACTTAGTCTCTTATAATTCCGTAAAGAGAAATGGTGAAGATTATTGAGATATCCAATTAAAATCCGACCTTGGCGGAGCAACGTTTGAGGCCATAGGAGGCAGATTTAACGATTTGCTAATTCCGCAATTTTATCTTAGTGGAGAGAAATTAAAAAACGCCCAAGCAAATGCTAAGCATGGCCAGCATGGATCAGTAAGAGTCAGAGTCAAAAAAAGGCTTTTAGAGCCACAAGGAAACCAATTATTCGTTAAATGAGAAGAAAACAATCTCTCTTTCGTTTTACTAAAAGCAATGAGAGAAAACCCCGCAAATATTGCAAGAAGCGGGATATTATTAGAAGTCAAAGGCGAAACTGAACTCCAATACAAAGGAAAGAAAATTGACTATTTATTTTTAGACAGACAATTAGCAGCCAAATTAGGAGGGGCAACAGAACTTTTACACCAAGTAACTTATGATAGCATTAGAGGAGGAGCAGTAGAACCAGGACTTTTTTCTCCGCTCAACTGGGGCAAGAAATTTACTTTTCGCAATTTAAATCAAAACCTCAACGAAATAAAAATTTTTAAAAAACCAATCTCGGGCTGGTTAAAAGATTGAATCAGGGATAATGAAGAGAAGTGTGACATTCCCTCTGCCACCATTTTAGAACTTGGCAATAATGCTTTTTTGACTGACGAAAACACAATAGAGACTGATGCCATAAATGCCATAAGTAGTAGTGAAGAGAGTGAATGATTTGAAAGAAAGAATAAATTAGAAAAATTATCAGGCATTCATGCAAATGAAAGTTCCTCCCTAGATAAAACCCAAACGGCTGAACTTGTTGAACTTTTAGAAGAATGCCAAGCAGCCGCTACAAACGGCGACGAAATTGCCAAGTGAATTATCGATAGTTGAAAATACAACATTCACCATGCTAGCGAAATGGGTAAACTTTTGCAAGATTTGAAAGCAAGGTTAAGAGGGTTATCAACCAACGAAGAAAACAACGAAGAAAACAACGAAGAAAACAACGAAGAAAACAACGAAGAAAACAACGAAGAAAACAACGAAGAAAACAAACTAACCTTAGAAGAAATACATGAAAAAATTAAATGAACTTTCGATATTAAAGAAATATACAAAAACTATCTTTTATTGGAAAAATGTGCTGAATCTTCGGCGGAAGAATTAGATAGAACTTTAGAAACAATTACGAAAAAAGTTTTGAGTCAGCAAAAAACAAAAAAACTTATAGGAGAATACAGAAGACACGCGAGTGGTTGAAAGAACGACAAAGATAATGAGAAAATTTTGAAAATAATTAATGATATTTACCCTCACAAAAGCGATGAAAACTTGGTCTCGTCAGGAAGAAAAAGCCTTTGAGACTCGTTGAGCGAAGAACAAAGAACCCAAATTAAAAATTTAAAAAAAATCAAGCAAGATTTATGAAAACCATTTTTTGCTAAATTTTATCGTTATTATTGTTGCCGAGACAAAGAAGTTAGGGCTAAAAATATTATTTCAAACTTTAATGCTCCCCATTCTGTATCAACTTTTCTTTTCGATGATGAGCAGTCACAAATTTTAGCTGTTATTTATGCAATAATCGATCACGAAGAAGAAAAATGAAAGAAGAAAGCAGGAGAAGATGATGGGGCACGAGCAGTTTTTGAGAATTTTAAGCAAGCTAAGAAAATAGTTGAAGATCACGAAAATCGAGAAATAGCACACAATTTTATGCAAAAAAAAAGAGCAGCCATCGAATTTTTTACCGAAGCTTGGGAAACGGCAGCAGATTTCTACCGGCAAGAAATATTAGGAATTACCCCCGACCCTGACCAAAAGGACAGCGACATGATTGGTGAGGCACTCACTAAAATTAAGAGAGATGACAGCGTCGAAGATTATCGAAAATACCAAGCCATTGATGCTGCTAAGTTTTTAGAAGAAGAAGATATTTTTGACATCGAACAAGAGGCAGTTGCTGATAAAGTTCGGTCAAATAGCATTTTTGTAAAACTATTAAAAGAAAAAAACGAAATTAATAAACTAGAAATACTGAAATTATTAATTCTTGCTGATGAACCTGTGAGTTTAGAAGGCACTGTCGACGAATTTTTTGAATCTCTAGTAAAGCAAGTAATTAGAGATAAATATGTCTGACTAGGCGAATACAGAGAAAAAGCAACAAGAAGAGCAATAAAAATCACTAAGGAAATATTAAATGAGGGAGAAAACGAAGAAAAGCGACTGGAATTATTTAAAAATGCTTTGGGACAGACTAAAAAAGTTGACCGTGATAAGTCTCCGGAAAGAGAAAGCAAAGATAATGATTTATCTCCGCTGAAATTTTACCACAAAGATCAGCCACATTACGAATTATCTAACTTTTATTATAATGAGCAAAGTAAAAGCACAGCCGGAATCACCGGAGAAGCAAAATATCCCATTTCTTGCCACATACCTAATGAGTTAAACGAAAAAGGGGAAGCGGTAGAAGAGAAAGGTTGATTAGTTAATCCTTCATTAGCAGAAGGAAAAGGGAAATTTCCCACTGCCGAACACCTTTTTCAGGCTTTAAAATTTACCAACGACGTAGAATTATTTGGTAGAATCAACCAGATTTTTAATTTTCAAAGTCCAAGCGAAATACGAGAGTTTGCTGATGAAATTAAATTTCAAACCAGAGGAGACTGACACACCGGCGATGTTCCTTATAAATTACGAGCCATGCGGTGGGTAATCAGAGAAAAGTTTTCCCAAAATCCCGACTTAAAAAAACTCCTGTTGGAAACCGATCATAGGTTAATTATCGAAGATACTTCTAGCGAAAATCGTTGAAATGATGATTATTGGGGTAATGGTAATGGACAAGACCATCCCGACGGACGCTCCGCCAAACTAGCCGAACAGGGTGAAAACTGACTGGGTCGCGTCTTAATGGAAACCCGCACTCAGCTAAAAATAGAAGAAGCGTTAAACAAAGAGGAACAAGACAAAGCCATTCAAGCCGTAGAAAATTATTGAAAACAAAACCAAAATAATGCTGGTAAAATAGATGATAAAACCATTGAAGAAACATTAGGCTCCGGCTGAAAGAATAAATTCGCTTCTTTAAAGGGTGGAAATTTAAGTGCTGAACTTGACAAAAAATATGACGGCGATTGAAGAAAGCATGTTATTGACGAAATAGACAAAATAACTAAAACTTACTGAAACGAGGGCAATGATAAAAGAATTGAAACCAAAATAATTACGTTAGAAGAAAATATTTTTGAAGAACTAAAAGAGCTAGTTGTACCAACACAAGAAAATTCAGATGACGAACAACAAAAAGAATTCGAACAAAATTTCAAACTGCCTATTTTTTTTCCAAGCAAAACCGAACTAGACAACAACACCACTAAATATCAATTTATAAAAATCGGTGGGGACAAATTAACTTATGCGGAATTTATTGACCTCTTAAAAACCAAAAACGAAGATTTTTTAAGGGCGTTTAGAGAAGAACTAAAAGAAATTGGGTTAGAAATAGGCGGCTATTTTTGGGAATGTGTTCCCGTAACAAAAAATGATACTAATAGAAAATTTGAATTTGTCGTGGTTAAATCAGCAGCATTAGATAATATCAGGCAAAATTATTCAGATTTCCAAGAACACATTGACGAATCCAAAGACAAACTCGCTTGTAGTTTTCCCAATTTAGGAGGAGACGCAACTTTAATCATTCCTCTCCCCAAAAAAAAAGGAAGCAATGAACTTGATTATAAAAACCTAAAAGAGTTTAGTGATAACGCCCCTGAGAAGCAGTGAAACGCCCTTTGGCAAGAAGTAGGTGAAAAAATGGACGAAGAGTTAGCAAAAAGTGATGACCCAAAATGATTATCTACTCATGGATTAGGTGTTCCTTATTTACATGTGCAGATTAACAAAAAAGAAGCGAAATATTATTCTCATAAAGAATACAAGACATGGAAAAAAATTGAGGAGGAAAAATCAGACGAAGCAGACAAAGAATGAATTTCTGGAATAGAAGATATTTTTGGCGAATTTGATGAAAAAGAAGAGCAAGCCAAAGCAATATTGAAAGAAATCTCTAAATTTCTTACCAACAAAAAAAATAAAAAAAGACTTAATAAAGCAGCCGCTGAAATGGGAATAGATGCTGATGGTAAAATTACTAATGTTGGAAATGCCAAAGTTAAAAAAGAATTAAGAGAAAAATTAGACGAAATTTGCCGAAAAGGAGATTGAGACCTTGCTAAATTAACTGAGGTTGAACTTTCCAAAATAACCGCAGAACGAAGAGCAAAATTAAGAGGTCTCTCCAAAGACGGAACAATCCAAAATCTACTGGACGGTCAAGAACTATTTGAAAATAAATTTACTGCCCTTAGTGCCACTGGTAGTGGTAGCAGTTGCTATTTTAACAGTTTATCCCTTTGGCTCAAAGGTGATGAGAGTTGACGTAACCGCTTGCGTTTGGCTGCTTTCCGAGAGGGAATTTCAGAAACAAGCGAATACTTTAATTTAGCATATGCAGATGGCATTGACGTTTTATCCGACACTACTAGCATTGGTAAACAAGCCGGAGGAAATGAACAATATTTTTTTGCTACTCTTTTTGATTGTAATATTGTTACTATTACCAACTCTCATGTTGATGGTGGTGTAATTAGTGTAAGTATTGTAGAACCAAACGGTGAAGCATCTGAAAAAGATGGCAAATTTAAAGATAATAAAAAAGAGACAATTTGGCTTTTTCATAGTGGCGACTACGATTTGAAAAAAGGCACTAGTTCCGGTCACTATGTTCCGCTAATCCCCAATGAAAATTTAATCGAACTAATTGATATCTTTCACTGAGGACTAAAAGTTGAACTTGCCGAACTTGAAGCAGGAAGCAGCCAGGAAGCAGACGCACCAGTTGAATTAGAAAATAAAACTGGCTATCATGCGCGGATAGGTGATGCCGATTTTGCCGAACTTGAAGCTATTTGAAATGAAGCAATGGGAGAAATTAATGCCAAGAGAAGTATTAAAAGGTTAGAAAATTATCTTCATGATAAGGGAATTAACCAAGACGAAGACTACATTAATAAAATTATTGACGAAGTTTTTGAAATTTGAGATAAGAACAAAGGAGACCAAAGCGAAGTTAGCGAAAAAGTTAAAGAGCTAGTAAACGAGCAAATATTAGTTATTATTGTAAATCAAGCCAAAAAAGAGATCGGTGGAAATCTCAATAATGCCCCGATTGCTCAAGTACAAAAAGCAATTAATCTACTAGAACCATTTGCTGAAGAATGAGAACAAGGAAGAAAACAAACTCGCACGGGTCAAACTTTAACCGAGTGAGAATGAAAAAACAAAGTTTGGAAAAAAAGCAACGAAGCACGGGAATTATGGAAGAAACTACAAGCAAGAAAAGCCAGTATCAGAGCAGCAGAAAATCAAACGCCTAATAATCCGCCACCTCATACTTTTTCCAATTCTGGCGGGTCAAGTAGCCATAGTTCAAAAAATACTAATTCGGCTTCCAACAATTCAACTGCTGGCCTAACAAAAGGCGAGCCAATGGCTGACAACTCAACAAAGGGTTATTTTTCTTCAACGAGCAACTCAAATCCCTCTAGTTCAACCAATTCCACTTCTGGCACGAATAGTAGTAGTAGTAGTTCGAATAGTTCTTCACCTTCTTCCAGCAGCGGTGGGTACTCC